CCTTTCCAAGTCTGCATTTCCCAACTGTCTGAACGACTCACTTACCTAAGGGGATCTTTTTTCTTTTCTCTGCATTGGAAATTAAAGGCATGAGTATTGAGGAGTTGAATAGCGCAGACTCTTCTAGTGAAAACTACTTTATAAAGCACCTCGCAGCTGGGGTGGATAAAGCACCTTTAGACTTCAAAGTCCTTTTCTTCTCCTCTCTGGATAAGGTAGGATAGTGGTCTCTCCTTTGGGGACAAGGAGAGTGAGAGAGTCCCAGAGTTATAAAGCAAGACGGTGGCAGGGCTGAGCTGTGGGGACTGGGGACCCAGTGATAGGCAGTCTGCTCCCTCCCAAAGGCAATCTCCAGAAACATCCAGGGAACTGTCTCCAGGGGAGAACTGACAACCCCAGGGAAAATGCTACATTACCCTCTGCTCAAAGCAATTCAGCTTTACCTAGTAAGGAATAGTCAGAGTGGCTTTAAACCAACCCAGAGCCCCAAATATTTGAAAACTTTATATGGAAGCCAGCGAACATGAGTTCATTTTCCAAGCAGTGCTTCCAGAAGTTGTTAGTGGTTGGTAGTTGCTATGGATTTTGAAACTGAAGGACATCACAGCAGAGTGGAATTATTTGGAACGGGGGGATAGGAATTAGAATTAATGAAATGAAAGAAAAGTCTGGCTAGAGAACTAGAAAAATCCAGGAAGAAAAGATACAGTAAACCCTGGGTGATTTGTAGCATTTATCCTAGTCCAAACAGCAAAGGGCAAACAGCCAAAAAAATTCCAATACACTATTTGCCTCTTCACATTTACAAGTTCCTGCAATTATTACCAATGTCTTTGGCTTGTTGGCCAAATACTAGCAGGTCCTAAATGCAAAATGGAATGGTCCTCTGTGTTTAGAACCAAGTAACTCTCTCCCACCCCACACCCAAGCACTGTTTTTGTAGAGGAGTTTGATACTGTGTGAATACGGAAACAGGCTAACGTTTGGCTCAGGAACTATTTTGAGTGTCCAGCCTTGTGAGTATAAAACACATTCATTCCAGCCCACCCTAATTCCAACCTGAGTTTCTTTACCTTTTAAATAGACTCATTCTTTCTTAGAAGTATTTGATTCTAAAGAAAGAACTAGCAAAATTCCAGGTGCAGCACAAGACTTCATTAATGTGATTCGTTTAAGAATTTCCATGTGTTAACTTTGAGTTATTCCCACCAATTCACTGCTGTGAACCTTTAAAATTGAGTTTCAATTTAAAAACAAAAACTGTCAGCGTCTCTGTGGACTGCAGAGCTTGGCTGTTTGGGTGTCTAGACTTGCAAAATGGAAACCTTAGCTTGAAGTTTGGAGCTTAGAGATTCATCCTAAGCCTGTGACTTGGAGATGTAAGAAAAGCTGCACACAGCTTGGCTTGCAGGATGTTTCAGGGATCAGCGTCATGAGAAAGCCCAGGCAGACGGGTTGGTGAGGAGACGTTCATGGCAGGTGTCTGCCTGGTTTCTGCAAAGCTACTGACAACAGTGGGAAGACAGGCGCCGGGGACAAGCTGATTTTTGGAACTGGGACGCGTTTGGCAGTTAGGCCCAGTAAGTTTGAGATCTTTGTGTCTTTTCCTATTATTTGCTCTAGCCTGATGTTCCAGTTGCCCTCCTTTAGATTCCAAGTAAACAAACCATAGTGTCTTTTGTGCCCTTTTTGATATTCACGGCTAAGGGGCTCTGTTCTTCCCATCCTCCCCTCCAAGCCAGGAGAGTCTATGGCCAGATCAATACTCATGAAGAGGCAGACAGCAATGCCGTTGGTAGCTGTGTCAAGCCATTCCCAGTCCTTATCCCTGGGCCCCTTTACCTGCTTTTGTGTCTCAAGCATTTATACAGCATAAGGGACAGGAAGCAATGAACAGTAGTGCTGGCCAGGGCTGTAAGCAGTCCTGGTGTTTGTGGGCTTCAGAACAGCTGTGGATGTTCTAGGAGGTTTGGGGCATGAGTTTCTAGCAGAGAGGTTTTGGTTTGTTTTCTTTATTTTTTGAAATACAGTCTCACTATGTCACCCTCAGTAGAGTACCTTGGCATCACAGCTCACAGCAACCTCAAACTCTTGGGCTGAAGCGATTTCCGTGCCTCAGCCTCCCAAGTAGCTGGATCTACAGTTGCCCGCCACAATGCCAGGCTATTTTTTGTTGTTGCAGATGTCATGGTTGTTTAGCTGGCCCTGACTGGGTTCAAACCCACCAGCCTCAGTGCATGTGGCTGGTGCCCTAATAACTCTGCTACAGGTGCTGAGCCATAGCACAGAGGTTTATGTAAAAGCTTGGCCCAGTGTGTGAATACAGGAGCAGGTGCCGGGCGACTTACCTTCGGGAGAGGGACCCAGCTGATCGTCCAGACCTGTAAGTGCTACTGCCAGGAGGTGGGGGTCTAAATGCAGCCCCCCTGGGAATCTCCAAACCCTGCTCCTGAACCTCTGGCACCAATGTCATTGTTGGCACTGTCCTAAACACAAGGAGGTTTTGAGCCACGTGGAGGAAGGTGATAGAGTCTGTGCTGGGGAGGAGTCCCGAGATCTGCCCTTTTGCTGCTACTCCTGTATTTGACCACAATTCCGTTATTGGAAATTCTGGGCTCCAGTAGCAAAGTTTACAAGCTTAGGACTGAGCCAAGAACACATGCAGGCCACTTCTCTGGCAGCACCTTTACGATGAAAATTACTCTCATAGGAAATGTGGAGATGTCTGTGTAGACAGGGGTTGGCCATTTCTCCCCTTCTGTCTCCATGCCCTTTTCTCTGCCTGGCTTAAGGACCTGAAATTAGAACAGTTATTAATCATTTGATTTCTCAGTCCCATCACTCATCCAGTGTGACAAGAGGAATCCATTAACATAAACCCACAAAGTGAAAGGAGAAAGAGTTCAATTCTTAATGGCGTCAGAGTTGAACTTGACAACTCCTCAGCCTTAATTAACTAGCCCCATGATCAACTGAGGTCAGAGAAGGCAACTAGCAGGTTGCATTAGCCAAGCCTTGCTGCACTCAGAGGAGTTAATACTGCAGAGTTTGGGAAATTGTAGTGGATGCCCAGGGCTTGCCCTGGCTGCCTGGCAGGGGAGAGGTCATGGGGACAGCGCTGAGTGAGGGAGCCGAGGCCAGATAGCAAGGCAAGCAGCAGGTTTCTGCTATCTCAGCGTCAGCACTGGCAGTGCCAGGAAACTTGCTTTGGGGACGAGACTTCAGATGACCCTTGGTGGGTAATAGGAACCGTGAGAAACCTGTGTGTTCCTTTAAAACAGGGAATGCTATGGAGGGGGACATCCTGTTGGATGCAGCCCTTCCTTCCTCCCGGTGGAGGTGATCTCACTGAGGATACCGCAGTCAGTCAGGACTGCGCTATTTTTATTTCTATTGCTGAGGTTTCCTCTCCACCTGTGAAAACAGACTTCTCTCTGTTCCAGGCTTCCTCAGTCTTCTTACCCCCTGTGTTTCCTTTGGAACAGTGGTTTGGGAATTACCTTATCCTCAGGACTCTGTCACTGTGGACAACCAGGTGAAAAAGGCTCAAATAGAGAGGAGAGAGTCCTGCTTACTCTGGTAACGTCTAGGGAGTGCTGTGTGTAAGGGGGAGGGAGTGGGCTAGGATGACCTTCTAGTGACTGTTTTACAGAGACTCCGAGGAAACTTGCATCCTACACCCTCAACTTGTTAGGCCCTCAGTGACGTGAAAGCAAAACCTTGACCTTCTGAGAACATAATCAAATGCCACCCCCTCCCCCAAAGCACTGCCACACTTTGTTATTTGTAATTATGAAATGACTATATGATAATTCATATGAAGTTATATAGGTAAGTTTGATATTTCGAACCCAAGAAAGATGCAAACAAACTCTAGTCGTTCTGGAGCACGTCATCAGTAGCTCCTTACACATAGCAGTCCCTGAAGACAAACAGTATGCCTGGGCAGGATTTGTTTGCAGTGTTGGTTTATACATCGCACAGAGACCGGTTTGAAAGCTGATTATGTCTCATATTGCCAATTTGGGGTATACATTGTGCTCAGTGCACTGAAAAGCATAACAAAACGGCCCATTCCTGTAGGAAAAGGAGCCTGAGACTGTGTATGGTGTGGTGTTTGATGGTGCCTCTTCCCCTGGTCCCCGCCATGCTGGGAGCTGCCTGCAAGGTGGCCCCAGGAGGTTTTTGTAAAAGCATGCATTGCTGTGACAATAACAATGCCCTGTACTTTGGAGCAGGGACCAGACTGACAGTAAAACCAAGTAAGTTGGGGGCATGGATGGGTTCTGAGAGCTGACCTGAGGGAATGGAGGTGCTGTTCTGTGCAGTTTCAGTGGGATTATGGCACTACCACTTCCCACAGGACCCTGTACCTGGTTTCTTTGTCCTGAGCCCCTGAGCTGGTTAGAAGTCTATTAGTTGATGATTTCTGGCAATGCTAAGGATTAGACTAAGAAGAAGTAGAAGATTTCACTGGCGTCGTCATTGACGCTGCACATATATTAATGTAAGTGCTGAAGATAATACAGAAAATCTATATTTGATGATAAAAAGACCTAACAACTCAGAAATCAAGTTTCTTGATTAAGAATTCCTGCACTCTGAGGGGAATGCAATCAGCTCTTCAGTTTTTTGTTTTTTGTTTTTTTAATTTGGTGAGGTTTTTATGATTCTTTTTAAGAATCATGGCTGTGAAAGGGGCACGGTGCTCCTGGTCCCCAAACAACCCTCTCTGACCCCAGTGTTGACCTCCTGTGCCAGGTGGCGTGGCTCTGCCCGACCTGGCTATTGTTCCCATGTGTTTCTGTCATTAGCATCTGTCAGAACCCAGTGTTCTGAGGACAAAACTGGGGATTTAAGATCAAACTCAGATCTGTCTGCACAGCCAGTCGTTAGGTTTAGAGAAATGCCCTAACCTCTCCCAGGAGCTGAGAACTGAGGCTGCAGGATAGTAAGACTTCTGCTCCCTTCACTCCTTCCCACCTGCTGGTTATTGTAAGGCCTCATATGGCTGTGTGAATTATGGAGGAACCCAAGGAAAGCTCATCTTTGGAAAAGGCACTAAACTCTCTGTTAAACCAAGTAAGTGTTGGGGATTCAAAGACTACATCGCTGAGTGCAATTAAAGTACAACCCAGAGTGAGTGAGATGAAACTTACCAACCCCTTTCTCTGTGACATCTTCCCCCCTTCACCCATGAACCCCACAGAATTGCTCCTAGTCCATGCCCTCCACCTCAGTCCAGACCAGTACCTGCTCTACTGGACATAGGAAAACTCCAGGCTTCATCACATGTAACAGGGCTCCTCGCTGGGATGGCTGTGCTCAATAGTGACCACCCAAATCACTGTAGGGAACCGTGACCTCTCAGCAATGGTTTCATGGAAGAAGCAAGCCTTTCTTGCACCATGAAGGCCCCTGGATAGTCTGTGTGATTGTCACACGATTGGGTTTCAGACATTAGCTTTAACAGGGGGTCATAGGAGGAGGAAGCACAGGATGGCTACTGCGAAGGGTTTTTTGTTTAGGGAGAATGCACTGTGGAACTCAAACTCCGGGTATACACTCAACTTCGGCAAAGGCACCTCGCTGTTGGTCACGCCCTGTGAGTTCTTCTGGTTAACTAATTATCCTTTCTGGAAAGAAATCCAATGAGGCCTGTTGAAACACAGCTGAATTTAATTGCTTTATTTAGCGTGCATTTGTTAACTATGTCCCATGTGTGAGCAAGATATTAATACATGTTTCCCGGGAGGCTGGATTTAGTTATCAGGTCTAAGGGCAGTTTTTTGATAAATTGTACTAATACTGCAATCAGTGTTTCTCTAAGGTCCACAAAGCACGTTGCGGCTTTGGGAAAGAGGAAGAGATAAGAAAAGCTTTGTGATAGAGACAGAAATAAACCAATGAAAAGGGAGGCCACCAAAGCGGCAGTGTGTGGCCAAGGAAGCGTGTCCTTAACAGATACGTGATGAGGACCCAGTTGGGTTTGTGCCTGTGGCATCCGATAGAATTGGAAAATAAGGACTGAGGACTCTGGGGAGGGAGAATTGCAGGAGGTCTGAGCTTCTCATGGCTTTTGTCCTCTGCAAGAATAGCAGAACAATAGCCTGTCTCTGGAGGGAGGACTGCCCTTGGTATGTCATGTCAATGGGTCTATTTCTCTTTCGACAGATGGCTTCTTCACACGGGATGCTAAGCTGTTCCCCCACGCAGCCGTCACCCCTTCACCTAGGCTGGCTGTGTGGACCCCAGGGGAAAAGCAAAGAATCCCAGTGCCGTGGAAGGCCTCCCCCCAAGACTGAATTATCTGTAATAAAGTAGAATGTTTATCCAAGTTGTGAAGTTGTCAGGCAATAGAGCTGGATTATAGGAAGCAATATTGAAATTTTACTGGCTATTTCCACACTCCCAGAGTGCAGTGTTTTTGTTATTTGTTTATTTTGTTTTTCTGTTAGAATTGCAGAAACAGAGGGGTTTTCCTTGCAGGCAGACTATTTGCAGAAACATCTCCCCTCTCACATTTCAGTAGTCTTTCCTCAACAGTCCTCTGTGCCTGAACCATGTGTGAAAATAAGGTAATGGGGCCGATCTGCTAACAAATAGTTTATACATTTGCATGGCCCCATCAAAGCACCCAGCTGGAAGTGGCTCACCTCCGCTGTTGAAACTGCCTTCAAAGGCCACAGCACCTTCTTTAGTATCATCCATGATGGGTTTATCTGTTGAAGGTAAATTTTGCTTTCATTAATAATGAAAAGCTTTCCAGAACCAAGACTTGCAAATAGAGGAGGGGACTGTTGGTACTGTTTCAGATCCAAAATGATGTATAACTATAAAACGGTGTCATCAGTTTGTGTGGTTCATAAACTGTCAGAGAAAATCCTAAAGAAAATACTTCAAAGGATTCAACAATCATTCAATTGTTAACTCCTTACATTTGCTAAATCAACCTCTTTAGTTAATAAATACACTTAAGTAAAAATAACATCAGCTTGCAAAAGTTTTGCAAACTCAGACCCAGTAGAAACAGTGAAGACTTTCTCTAGGGACTGAGGTAGAATCCCAAGTAAATTCCTTTTAGAAAAACATGAGGTCAAGGGCTTCCGATGGCCAAAGTGCATGTGATGCCCTACTCATGGATGGAGAGGAAAGCTGCTTCAGGAAATGGTAACCTGACACTGGTTTATGTAGAGACACATAATACTGTGACTACCTCAGGAAACTACAAATACGTCTTTGGCACAGGCACCAGGCTGAAGGTTGTAGCAAGTGAGTATTACAGGCAAGATAGACTTCATGTTAAAAGTGGTTAGTGGTCATGTCTGAGGGGCAGGGGAAGGTAGAATAAAGGAGGTGCCTGTTACTAAGTAGGGAAGCTAAAATTACTGCTGTCTAAAGTGGCAATTCTGGATCCCTCTGCCATGGACAGGAGGGGTAAAGGAGCACACTGAGGCTTCCCACAGAGGACTGACCACCAACTTTATAAGAATTGTATCAATCATTAGAAAAATATTTATGACTGGAAGACCTTGAGAGACTCCCGTAAACACAATAGGAATTCTGTGTTCTTTATTCTCTTAGTTGAAAATTGGCATTCTTATTTCACATCTGTCACTTGCTTTTCCCCTCCTGTTTCTCTCTCCCTGTCTAACTCAGTGCTTCACCTGGGCATTCATATTTTGAGAAACTATCTCAAGGGAAAACCATGCCCAGATCCTAGCCTCTCAACGCTCTCTAGAATCTGGCTCCTTTCTGTTCTCTAAATTTCGTCCCAGCTATTCCCTTTTATGACTGCTGTGCTCCAGGTGAACTAGGCATCTGCTTGCCCTGAATGCTTACACGTACCCACACCTGCTCCCTGGGTCCACACAGCAGATATCCCGGACCCACCCCTGAAAACAGGCTGGCACAGGTGAAACAGGTCAGTTTTCACAGTCTCTGAGCCTAGAAACCCAGCACAGGTGTCACCAGGCAATTTCATAGGGAGAGCTTGAGGAATTCTATCATTTTTTTAATTAAGGAGTCCAGAATAAGAGATGCAGGAGACATATAGCGAAGTCAGGAGAGGGATGGCTTCTGTAATAGGTATGGGAAGGAGGGATGTGTCCCTGGGAAGGCATTCCCTGGAGCAGAAAGAACACTGACGTAATCCAGGTGAGAAGTTTCTGGGCTGCACGTTTCTGGGGTTCCCTGCAGAGTGGTCACTTCCTAATGTGGATTGTTAAGTTCCTGGTCCTCAAGGTGGCCAGTGGGGAGGAAGTGGAAGAGATCGTGCTGGGACACTCGGTGGTCATGCCTGTGGAGTCTCTGACTTGGATTTTCTATCAAATTACTCAAAATTGAGAGAAGCTCAAATGGATCACATAGAAAGGATGGGAGAAGCTACCTTCTTAGTCATAAAACATTGTTTCCGGTTGGTCCTTGAGCTGTGTTATCTCCTGGGAAGGGGACAGTGAGAGTGGAAAAATCTCTCCTAGAACAAGGTTAGAAAGTGGTAAAAAGTTATTTTCCTGCTGACTGTCTAAGCAGGGGATGAAAAGAGAGTCCAGCATGAATTCCAGGGCAGACCATTGCATGGGAATGTCTCTAGCTGTTGGAATGAAAAGGCTGTGTATCCCCTCGGATGTTCCAGAGCTGACCTGGGTCAGAGGTGCCGGGCTCCCGCACCCTCAGGTGTGGATCCACATGCCAATACCACTTGCCAGGTGGGTGGTGATGGCTGCCTCTACCCCTCCTACAGTGATGAGTCTCTCTGACTGCTTTGGCTTTGGTGCCATGGACATAAACTTTTTCCTACTTTGTCCAAATGACAGATATGATTTTCAGAACCCTGGAGAATTGATATCCAAAACACCAGAGGATATGCTAGGATTTGGGCCGTCAGTATTCTGGGCCTGTGCAGGAAAATTCTTTCTTTAGAACATTTAGAAAGAATATCCTTTATTTATTCAACATGGAAACAGTCCTAAAATCCAAACTGGTACTAGGATTCTGTGCCAGGTTATTACTGTGACAATTACTTAATATTCTCTGTGCTCACGATATCACTCCTTCCAGAGGATCTTTAGGGAAAACGTAGTTCAGTTTCTAGGAGGTTTTTGCTGAGCTGAAGATCACTGTGTGAATAATAATGCAGGCAACGTGCTCACATTTGGAGGGGGAACAAGGTTAATGGTCAAACCCCGTGAGTATCTCTCCTGAATCCATAATGAATGCTCTAATTTCAAAAGGAAACCGTAGCACTGAGCTCAGTTTTCTGTTTTCTCTGCTAGATTCTATTTCTTATGTTAATTCTAACCATTAATTCTACTGATTTGTATGGTGTTAACATGTATACATGGCATATGCACGTGTGAAAATGGGCACATATGTAATTGCCTGCACAAGAACAAATGCTCTGGGAAAACGGGTTCCTTGTCCTTTTTGTCTTAACCATTCGGGTCAGGAAGTCTGACTATGTTAGACACAGGGTGGCTGAGCGCTGGAGTGGGAAAATCCTTCTCCGGCAGCTTTGTCCAGATTACACCACTCCTTGGCTAGTCAGGAGGCAGCTTGGTCTGGAAGTAGAGGGATGAACTATTTAACCTCGGAAGAGCCAGGCCATGCTGTGAATTGACCACCATAATAAACAGTCTTCTCCATCGCCTCTTTGGCTGGAGTCTCAGCTGGAGGAGCATACCAGCCGGATTTGGGGATTGAAAGGGATTTCCTGATACACATTGGCCTGGTCGGTTTCTGTTAAGCTTTCTATGACTGTGTAATGTTGGCAACAAGCTGATTTGGGGATTGGGGACAAGTCTGGCGGTAAATCCAAGTGAGTCTTCATGTTAACTCTCTCAAAACTGTCTGTGCAGTTTGAATGTCTCAGAAACAGCCTCCTTCCTTTTTTAGCCTTGAAAATGTCTCGTTGTGGCCAGTGTTTTGTCCTGTTCACCAGAGCTGAACCCTGTCTACCCTGTCAATCAAAGTAAGTAGGTAGAAGAATCCAGAAGCGCATGGTCAGCAGGCAGTGGGAGCATTAGGCTATTTTCTTGCAGAGCAGACAGCATAGCCCATTCTGAAAAAGGCTGTCAAGGAAT